CAAGTAGTATTCCATTGTATATATAAACCATATCTTCTTTATCCTTCGTCAGTTGATGAACATTGTTGAAAGTGCTGTTATAAATATTGGGGTACAAGTGCCTCTATGCATCAGCACTCCTGTATCCCTTGGGTAAATTCCTAGTAGTGCTATTGCTGGGTCATAGGGTAGATCTATTTTTAATTTTTTGAGGAACCTCCACACTGTTTTCCAGAGCAGCTGCACCAGTTTGCATTCCCACCAACAGTGCAAGAGGGTTCCCGTTTCTCCACATCCTCTCCAGCATCTATAGTCTCCTGATTTGTTCATTTTAGCCACTCTGACTGGCATGAGGTGGTATCTCAGTGTTGTTTTGATTTGTATTTCCATGATGAGGAGTGAGGTTGAGCATCTTTCATGTGCCTGTTGGCCATCTGGATGTCTTCTTTAGAAAAGTGTCCATTCATGTGTTCTGCCCATTTCTTCACTGGATTATTTGTTTTTTGGGTGTGGAGTTTGGTGAGTTCTTTATAGATTTTGGATACTAGCCCTTTGTCTGATATGTCATTTGCAAATACCTTTTCCCATTCCATCGGTTGCCTTTTAGTTTTGTTGATTGTTTCCTTTGCAGTGCAGATATCTTGGAAATTTTAATTGATTACTTTTTTATACTTTCCTGTACTAAAAAGATATTAAGTGAAATTTCTAAAATTTCAAGATACCTTTTGACCATAGGGTCTAAGTAATTAAAAGTTCCTCTGGATTGAATTATTATTATTATCAGTATATATAAGTATTAAAAATTTTAAAGAAATAAACATAAGTAATTGCGGGGGGGGGGAATGGTGTCTCAGTGAAATGAATGGGACTTCTTTTTAAATTAATTGATGAGTTCCTGCCCTTGTGGGTGAATATTATTGCTAGAAAAAGACAAGATTCATGATCAACTGTATTCCTACTTTCTATTTTTATAGATGTAAATGCTGAGAAACTTTACTCATGTACATAAGTAGATAAGAATAGAAGGAATTTTGCCATGGCAATGTCACTTGATTCTTTGATCTTCTGAGATGTATGCCAAAAAAAGGTCACAGACTAGTTTTTCATTAAAAATTATTTTCATAGCCCATTGTCTGACAATTGATTAGAATATCTTTCAGTGTTGTTGATAAAAAGAGTGAGAGACCAGTTGACTTACAAGGCGTTGGAGCCCAACTGAGCAGCAATATTTGGAGACGTTTCTTGGTTCTTCCACACGGTAAAATTTAGATGGGTAAGGGGTGTATTCTCCTTTTGGAAAGTGAAAGCTCAGTGATTTTAAAAGGGGAGATGAAAGGGGAGAATGGGTTTGATAACCTGAATGCCACGGAGTTGTTAAGCTTATCAAGTTTATGAACAATATATATGTATGGAATCGAAGATTTCCTGTCAGTCCAATAGAGTAGTTAAGCCACTAATAGTTGAGGAAACTACTATGTGAAAACTTACCTGCCCCTTAGAAAGTCTTTTTTGCACCCCATGGTATGCATACCCCACTTTGTAGGTTTTGTTTTACAGAACAGCAAATCGACTAGTTGGCTGCATCCATCTGGAAAGTTACAATGAAGCTGATCCACAGTCTAAAGCACAACTAAGGAAGAAATGTTTCAAAACTTTTGACTTGGTTCCACTACTACAGAGACAGCCAGTCTAGTCTAGAATGAGCCAACTTTTTTTTCAGCCAAGAAACATGAAAACTTCTCATGGATGGAATGTCATCGCCTGGGAAATTAAAAAAAGCATGTATATTTTGTCAGCACCTAGAGGTGCCTGTTTTCACGCCAGCATCTAGAACCATAGACGGTTCCAATTTACCAGGTAAACAGAAAACAAAGATCCTTCCACAGAAGTGGTATTATGCTTAGAGCACATTAAAAAAAAAAAAAAGTAATTCATTGCATGCTGTACATCATTTACAGATGGTTTGGATTTATATTTTTTCAATGAATGCAAGATGAGCTGGGGATTTCCCTAAACACTTCTGGAGAATCTCAGATGCCTACAAGGCAAGAGGCGGAAACATTTGTGATACAAGGGAATTCTCTTGGCATTAAGAATTTAAGTGGGAGTCCTTCAAATGAAAAACACATATAAGTTAAGGACTGTAGGTAGTGACTTGTGACTTTCATGTGTAAAAGAATCTGGCTGTGTATGACTGCTGATAAGGCTCAGTGAGAGTTTCCAGATTGGACTGTGTAGAAGCAGTTTACAAGCATGTTGCTCTGACTAGGGTGTTCACTCCTATTACCTCTATTCAATATATCCCATTAGGCCCTTAGAAGAATAATGGAGATACATCGTAAATAAACATGCAACATTAATGGGATTGAAGAATATCTCAAATCTAATAAAGCATGTCATTTTGGAAACTCTTCTTAAATATTAATTACTGATTTATACTATTCTTCAATATTCTTAATTCAAAAATGTGGGTAATAAATAGCTACCTAAGGAGTTTCATTTTCTAAGGTTAGTTTTACTTTGTTTTTTTTTTTTTATTTTTTTTTATTTTTTTCAACGTTTATTTATTTTTGGGACAGAGAGAGACAGAGCATGAACGGGGGGAGGGGCAGAGAGAGAGGGAGACACAGAATCGGAAACAGGCTCCAGGCTCTGAGCCATCAGCCCAGAGCCTGACGCGGGGCTCGAACTCCCGGACCGCGAGATCGTGACCTGGCTGAAGTCGGACGCTTAACCGACTGCGCCACCCAGGCGCCCCAGGTTAGTTTTACTTTGAAGATAAAGTGTTGATTCATGGGCTTTGCAGTGATGGTGATGTGGGTGGCATGATGAGCATGTGGACAGAAGGCCAGGGTGATGGTGAAACAAATCTAGTTTTATAAAAGAGAAATGTGGGTTTCAGTTCCACTAGAGACTAAAGAGTTCTGCTAGAATCTAAAGAGACTAAACTGGTTTTATTTGCTTCACTCAGTTTTTATCTGTAAAATGAATATAATAACTCCCCTGACAGCCTCACAGGATTATTATGCAAAGCTAAAGAGAAACAACGTAGAAAAAGGTGCTGAAAAGTTCAAAGTATTATGCAAATGAAAGCTGTTGGAGAGTAATAGGCTTTATGAAGCCTAAATTAGTTACAGGTTATTGTTCATGGTAGTAGGGAATTTAATTAAAAAATGCTGGTGGACTTATTCTATGGGGACCAACCTCATTTTCCACCTCTGCAGCCAACCTTCTCCCGTAGCTGGGGCCCCACCCTCTTTCTTGGTCTCGAACAGTCAGCCCTCTGACGTTCCCTTCCGTCAGGCCTTACGGTGGTAAAGCATGATGTATTTAGGGAGTCCCAGCCAGCTCTCTGGAATGCCTCATCATATAACTTCCTACAAATGTTTTATATGAAATTTTTCTTTTCTCTGAGCAAAGAAAACCAATAGATTATGAATGATTGTTTTTCAGCTAAGTGGGCTACAATTTCTGTAGCCTTTTATAAGACAGGGTGTAAATTTGCCTTGTGAGAAAATACATAACATATGCAATGCCCACCTTCAAGCCCATCTGTTTAGATTAGAGAGAAAACTGTTTCTTGGATCTACAACAAAACAAAACAAAGTGACAATGGACTTTCACCAGGGGCTCACAGTATCTCCTTGAAGAAAACAGCAAGAAGAGTCAGAACTCACTGGAGCATACAGTAATCTGGTTATAAGGTTGCAGACAACCCCCATACCATTTACTAACAATTGTTAAAATAACCTCCTGAGTCTGGAGACAAAAACTATTATACATTGGACTCAAGACTCCTACCTTTAGGCTAAAGGCAAAGACACTTAGTATTAGTGGGCAATAGTTGAATGCTGCTAGGACAAGATTTCATAAAGTGAATAGAGGATGTGTGAAATGTTTTATCTGGCGCCTGACTCTTGGTTTCCTGGACTTTTTTCCTTACTGTGATTCAACAAGCACAAGTTCCATCTGGTTTAGAGAGAGAAGACGTCTCCACTTGTAGCCAAACCGATGCAGGGGTCTTACCTTAGGAACTGCCCCCTGCCTTGGTATAAGGTCTCAGTCTGAGCACCAATGACATTGTGGGTCCTGTGCACTGCAGGATGGTTAGCATCATCCAAGGCCTCTACCCACTGAATATCAGCAGGGCTCCCTCACCCCCTGGGTCCTCCATCCCATACCCCACTGTTGTGACCAGCAAAATAGTTTCCGGACATTGCTAAATGTCCTCTGGGAAAAAAAAATCGCCTCTGGTCGAGAACCAGTACCTTAGTTCCTCCTCTTGCTTTTACCGTCACCCACATCTTCTTCTTGCCTCTCCCTATCCCCATTTCCAGGACTCGAGTCCTGAACCTGAGTTTCCAGGTACCCAGTTTCAATCTTACCTGATGCCAGTTGACAGTATTTTAGAAGCACTTATTTTCATTAATCAATCAATTAATTAATTCCTCTATATATCTACCCACCAGTATTTAATGAGTGCCTATGATGAACCAGGCACTGGGATTACGAGGTTGATAAGACACATTGCACTACAGGCAACGAAACAGAGCCATGTGCCATCTCTGTCAATGCACCACTGGATGTGGGAACAGCTGTCTCTGTTGAGTACAATTTGCCAACAAATCCACCGCAAGTACCTTCACTGAAGAAAGCTCAGAACCACAATTGGAAAGTATGCTGTAGACATTCCTGGGGTGTCCTCTATTTGGAACAGGATAGCACGTGGGGCTTATGTCATTTTTCTAATTCCTAGGGCACAGATCTCTGGGTAAAGGTCCTTATTCTGCAGAACTCTGAGTTCTAAACTGTCCAAGACTTCTCACCTGAGCTTAGCTGCCCAGAGCTCCTATGTAGAACATGGATGGAACTTCATCTTGTAATGAGAACCAGAGTCTCAACACCATTGCCATCAGGCATCAGAACTGATTATTCTGCCCTATTCCTCCTGGGTCAACTCTACAAGGCAGGAAACTCCTGAGAACTTACAACCAGGTGTAGATCCGGGACAAGTTCCAGTGGAAGGCAGCCTTGCTGACAATTCAAATATTTGAATTGAATTGCCAGACCAACCACAGGCGATTTCAATTTCAAGTGTTAACATATCACTTTAACATTGCTATGGCCTTCCAGAGGTTCATAAATGAGGTGCTTCATCTCCTGTTGGACTCAAATAATCACCTATCATCCTGATTCTATGGACCCCCTACTAAGGCTGGACAGCGTGTCCAAATTATCTGGAGATACTGATGCAGCACTTTACCTTCTTTCAAGCTCAAGCATAATTCAAACAGAAAGCGGACCCATGAGCTACTCTCTAACTCAGACCCTCCGTCATCCCAGCACAGCAGGGGAGATAGAGGTCACTTTCATCCTCAAGGAGAAACATTTAAGCCAAGTACAGACCCATAGCCTGCTGTCCGGGCCAGTTCGGATTCTTCCACTACTCTGTCACGGCAGGGAGGACGGGGATCACTTTCACAATCATCCTCATCTGAAAAGTCCCCGCAGTCATTGTCACCATTACACAGAAGTCGCCTCTTTATGCATCTGCCTGCAATCAAAATCAAGAAAGACACTGTGGCAAGATTTCATTCTTTCTCATTGCCAAGTAGTATTCCATTGTATATATAAACCACATCTTCTTTATCCATTCATCAGTTGATGGACATTTGGGCTCTTTCTATAATTTGGCTATTGTTGATAGCGTTAAATCTTGCCATTTGCAACAACGTGGATGGAAATGGAAGGTATTATGCTAAGTGAAATAAGTCAGCTAGAGAAAGACAGATATCATACGTTTTCACTCATATGTGGAAACTTAACAGAGGATCATGGGGGAGGGGAAGAGGAAAATAGTTTCAAACAGAGAGGGAGGCAAACCATAAGAGACTCTTAAATCCAGAGAACAAACAGGGTTGAAGGGGGGAGGGAGGGGAAAATGGGTGATGGGCACTGAGGAGGGCACTTGTCGGGATGAGCACCGGGTGTTGTATGTAAGCAATGAATCATGGGAATCTACTCCTGAAGCCAAGATCACACTGTATAAACTGTATGTTACCTAACTTGACAATAAATTATATTTAAAAAAGAAAAAAAAAGATACTGTGTGTCTAATGCCAAATGTCCTCTCTTCCTGAAGTTATCAAGTATACTTTAATGACAGAGGGGAGGGAATGTGCATACATTTGAATTCTTTGTACAACATTTATAGGTGGCCCTTTTACACTTGCAACCATTAGCGTGTCAAAGCAGACGTGTTTTTTTTCTGCTCATGAGTGCACACAGAAGCCCACAATGAGCAAGGAGGATGCAAGGATTACCTGTGCCACATTTAAACTCATTCCCACAGTCTTCCTCCAGGTCTCTGCAGGGCTCAGTAGGCTCACACAGTCTTCTGTCTCCCACAGCATCCACGCACTTTTGTCCCTTAAATTGCCCAAAGGCCTCAATGTTCCTTGAACGAAACTGCACAAAACCAGCTGGAAACATTAGAATTTCTAACGCCAAAAAGGAATAACGTCTAAAACTGCATCCACAGCACTGTAGCCTTCTACTCCCAGATGAGTCTATGGTTTTACGATGGAAGCCCTAAAAGCAGTCACTAATGCTTGTGACAGTGACACCTGGCGTTCTAGGGTCGGCAGTCTCTCCTGCAGAATCTGGTTCCTTGTGACGCTCATTTAGTACTATCCACCACATTCAGATTTCCGAGCAGGATGAGACTCTTCCCTTTAGATATCCATCTTTCCATCTCAGTTTGGAATTCAGCTGGGGGGCTCCCTCCCTCCAGTCCTTTTCCTGGGGATACCGGCAACCCAGTTTCCATTTGGGGACATCAGCCGAGGGAATGACAATGAATACTTACCATTTGTTTGAGGCAAGGGTCACACACTGACCATTCGCTCCAGGAACTCATTCTGCAGTCTATCGGAAGTGGTGTCTCATTCTCTTGTCCGGTCTCTGGGGTAAAACTAAGACAACAGAATGCGTCAACTTCGTGGCATGACATGTGCCTGTTTCCAAGAAGCCTTCACAAGCCAGTCTAATTTCTTTACTACTTTTCTGCCTTGTAAAATCAAAGGACGTATCCGTTTACCATATCTCTCATTTGACATTTGATCACATGCTGCTTTGTATTTTCAACTGGTTTTGTTGTTGAATTCTCGTACAGCTTTGTAATTTAACTTTGAATCTAACGATGCCTGGAATCATGGTGATGAGGAGAAAGTGGGTGACGGGCACTGAGGAGGGCACCTGTTGGGATGAGCACCGGGTGCTGGATGGAAACCAATTTGACAATAAATTGTATTGAAAACAATGGTGATGAGGAAGACCAGCAGGTCTTCCCGCTACCTGTTTTACACGGATTAGTCACTTATTTCCAAACAACTTATGAACTCAGTGAAGCACCTTGTTTCACTTTGCATCCCCCAGAGTCTGAGAAAGCCTCTGGTGACCTGGTTCTCTTGAAAATTCCAGCCAGGGGGCCCAGGCACTCTGGGAGCTTGCACCTGGTAGACGAAGACCTCCTCCCGCTGCACCGTGAGTGTCCTAAACTGCAAGCCCGACCACTTCACTCTCCGCTTCAGGACTTACCCCTTACCGTAATGGATTTTAAGGCATATATTTTGGCACTTGTAGCCTTCCCCTCCTCCCTCTAGACCCAAAGCTCAGCAGCGTTTTTCTGGCTTTGAACATTTCTTTCTTCTTCTGTTCACTATTTGGATCTCTTCTGGTTGCAACACCTCCTTGGATTACTATATCATTCAATGAAAGAAAGAAAGAGAGAAAGAAAGAAGGAAAGAAAGAAAGAAAGAAAGAAAGAAAGAAAGAAAGAAAGAAGAAAGAAAGAAAAAAAGAAAGAAAGAAAGAAAGAAAGAAAGAAAGAAAGAAAGAAGAAAAGGAAACAAAAGCAAAAGCCACTGAACAAGAATCCTATAAATGTCCTGCCCCCACTTCCCTGAACTGGTACCTACTCTTTCTAGAGCACAGTCTCACTCCAGAAGGGTGGCTAGGTAAGGCCAATCCCTCCACAGAGTCTCCAGATTCCAGCACTTCTCTGAGACTTTGACCAATTGTATTTGTCCTCCATTAAAACTCTTCCTTGCTACCAACTGTTTTTCAATTTGTTATA